GAATATACGTGACTGATATATACGTGACTGATATATACGTGACTGATATATATACGATACGACTGATATATACTGATATATACGTGACTGAAATATACGTGACTGATATATACGTGACTGATATATACGTGACTGAAATATACGTGACTGATATATATACGTGACTGAAATATGACTGAAATATACGTGACTGATATATACGTGACTGATATATACGTGACTGATATATACGTGACTGATATATACGTGACTGAAATATACGTGACTGATATATACGTGACTGATATATACGTGACTGAAATATACGTGACTGATATATACGTGACTGATATATACGTGACTGATATATACGTGACTGAAATATACGTGACTGATATTTGAAATATATGGATATATACGTGACTGATATATACGTGACTGATATATACGTGACTGATATATACGTGACTGAAATATACGTGACTGATATATACGTGACTGAAATATACGTGACTGATATATACGTGACTGATATATACGTGACTGATATATACGTGACTGATTTGTGTCAATTTTCAATAATGGAACTTAATTGGATTAATACAAATTTAGGTTAGAATAATCGATTATCCGAAAAGCTTGCGAGTCTGGTTATCTATTAGGTTGGAACAAAAGAACTTAACGTTTTTCAATAGATCACGTTTTAACAAGAGATTACGTTACACACGCGACGAAAATCTATGACATATATATATATATATATATAATGTCATCCACAGACAGACTGTTTCGCTGTTTACAGCTCATCAGTGCGGCTAGACATCCGTTTGCCTCTAGCTAGGATCGAAACCCGACTGAATTGGTGTCAGTCGGAGCTTCTAACCACTAAGCCGTCGGCGCACGGTAGGAGTGGAGGTAGATTTTTAGCGTATTTTACTTTTTTGTAAACATGCCCAGTGACTGACAGTGGCTCAATTCGCTTACGCGAAGAGTCGCGCTATATTAGCTATAATAGTCACTGTTTACAAATCACCCCTCACTCCACAGAGTGCTCAACTGAAATCAAATTCAGGAGCTAATATATATATATATATATATATATATATATATATATATATGAAATTTGAACGCGTTGTATGATTCATATGTGGATTGTGAATATAAATGTTTTCATTTTTAAAGTTTAAATTGAGAAAGTGACATGCATTTACGCTTTTCGATACTCTTTTATTTTTGGAAAGGAGGAAAAAACTTTGAAAACATAGAAAAATGCATGTACCATCTATAGGGACGGGGCCATAGCCGATAATGTTCTTCATAAATGGTTCAATAAGTACAGAAATAGTAATCTGGACGATAAGGTTTCAGCAGGCCAGCATTGTTGGCGATAACAAAATCGAATTAGAAATGATCGTGGTAACACGATAGTGGCATTGTAGAGGTACATCTCATATGAAATACTTACCATTTGAGATAATCCACATATGATATACGCCTTATATCAGATACTCCACATATAAGATACTCATTATAGATACTCATTATATGAAATTCTCCTTATATGAGATAATCCACATATGAGATACGCCTCATATGACATACTACCCATATGAGATGATCCTCATATGAGCGATTTAAGGAATTTGTTAACATCTTTATACCGGAATGGTTACGATGTCTGGGTGTCTCATGATCTAATGAAGCAATTTATCATTGAAAAGATGGATTTGAAGCGAAAGAATTCCTGGGGAAAATACCACATAAATATTTAAAATGAATTCGTGCATCCCAAGAAGGTGATACAGAGTAACTTATGGAATTGGTACGTCATTCTGTATTATTTCTTCCTTAAAATTAAATTTAGACAAGTAATGATGTCAACTAGAGCGATTAAATGCAGAAGTCGCTAAACAGTGTCCAGAATTAGAAAATCGGAAAAATACGGTCTTCGATCAGAGCCGTTGGGAATTGGTACAGCTTCTCTGCTATGCCGTACTACGCCCGACTTCTGGCTTCTTCCAATTTCCACTCATTCTTATCCCTAAAATATTTTCTTAATATGATGAACTTTAATTCTATGGAAGCCTGTAAAAACCACTCAGACTCGGTCATAACCCAGAAAAAGTTCTGGGCAGATGGATTTATGAAGATGCCTCAAAGATTGTTGCATACATGGTTGCAGACATTATTTAGGTATTGGTATGTGCATTCTATGCACTATATCTCTAAATATCTTATCTGAATATTGTCTTTGAAATTCAGTTACAAAGCGTCACATACTTTTTGCCGGCCTAATAAAAGCGATAACTTTTGATTGAGGACACTTTGTCAGATGTTAGCTCTTGCCTTAGAAACAATACCGTTTGGATGAGAACTGGATTCTATCGGCAAATGATACAATCAATACATAATCGCGAAGTAAGAGGGATCTGGAGAAAACTCCTTTCTTACTTTGGGTAAAAAGAAACATAAAACTCAGCTTTTTTCGTTTCTTTTTTTTTTTTTTTTTTTGCATGCTGGATATCGACTCTCGTTGAAAATAAAACGACCCAAGTGGGTTTCCTTCTTGAATTCTCATTTGAAATTGTATAAATGCAGCTGCGATCAACATTGATGAAAAGGCCCGACAAAAAAGAAAAAAGTTCAACGTTTCAATATCAATTGACTCTTCTATTCAGGTTAGCCATTTTTAATTCTTTCGGTCTCCTTTCAACTGTGTTTAAATTCCTTGACAAAAAACCCTGAGACGCATAATTACAGAGACCAAAGATAATGTGTCCAAAGTTGTATGAAGCAAGCATTTCCATTTTTGAAACACTTATTTATTCATTGGTTATTTATACGCTTGCCTGCGTTACTCCGTAGACGTTCTTGCAAAGTTTTCAAAGATATTATACAAAGAGCTGCATGAACATTATTAAGACACTAGCCGAATTACCCGCCCCTTGCTGCGTGTCAAACATATTTGTAAGAAAATGATGATTGATTTTAAATCATCGTTATAATTTGTGGATAAAAATGATGCATTTCAATATTACTCAATGATCCTTCCGATGTGACCTGCATCTTCTGGTTTTCTCCTTCTATATTTTAGATAGGAGTCATTCCATGTTCAAATATAAATTTAATTTAAATCGACGCGAAAAAATCAGTGGGTAGTGAAAAAACAGCCTGATCTAAACACTCTCATATACATTTGATGCAATACTTGATTAAATGAATTGATGAGCAGATTTCAACATTGATATGACAGTTGAATTGTCGCAACAAATAAGTATTTTAAGACGCTCCCCACTGATTGGTGAATTCTTGCTCAACTTGACTTCTACATTGTCTCATTTTGATCTTTCCAATGTAACCTCCATCTTCTGGCTTTCTCCATCCTTGCTTTGTTCAAAGTTAAATAAAAGGGAAACACAATTTCAGTGGGGTTTTGTGCTCCCCGGTGACCCAATTTGATCAAAATGAAATACTTATGCAAGTAACCTGGTTACTTTAGTTTCAGAATATATTTGGTTATGGGGATCTATCTTCAAAGCCCTAAATGGAGTTCGATAACGGACAAACAGACAGAGGCTACAACTCTGTCTCTGTATATATATATATATATATATATATATATATATATATATATATATATATATATATATATATATATTAAAAGACATTTTTTATGTTTAACGTTGTTATTTATAGATACAAGTATTTAAGCAAATGCTCTGTTTATGATAAACAGTATTAAATAACATTTACCGGCCTGAATGTTTATCATAAACAGAGCATTTGCTTAAATACTTGTATCTATAAATAACAACGTTAAACATAAAAAATGTCTTTAATAAATAAATTGTCGGACCTTGTCCATTTCTAAACACACACACACACACACACACACACACACACACACACACATATATATATATATATATATATATATATATATATATATATATATATATATAATAAAAAAACAGACCACTTTAAGGTACCATTACAATAATTTATTTCACCAAAATCCTTTTTAAAGGATTCCGTATCATCAGGTAACACTTCCAACAATGAAATGAGAGGAAAAATGGGATTAGAAATTGATGGGTAGTGTAATTTTTGTAATTAAACAGGGAGGGTGAAAGTGGCAGTTAAAGAGACAATACAGAGTATAGGGAGGGTTAAATTTATATCTTTCTTAAATAAGCTTTATATTGGGGTAGGAGGAGTGACCTAACCTTGACCTATTTATATGGTTAAAAAAAACGGAAGTGATATGTAGGAATAGTGAGGAAAGGAAATAAAGTAAAAGGAAAAAAAGAGAAAAAAAAATGGAAAAAAAGGCAGATGTATCCAAATGAGTTTTAAGGCAAAGAGAATGATGATCCGGAATCCTTTAAAAAGGATTTTGGTGAAATAAATTATTGTAATGGTACCTTAAAGTGGTCTGTTTTTCATTAAATATTAGCACTGTTCTTCACATTGAGCTCTCAGGATTTCATCCTACTTGGATTAACCAATTCGGTTTACCAAATTCTTCATAACTTAACTATATATATATATATATATATATATATATATATATATATATATATATATATATATATATATATATATATTGATAGATAGATAGATAGATAGATAGATGCGTGTTCAGGTGGTGTAATGATTTTTGATGTGTCGGTGGCGTAAAGTGTAGCTGCTCTTAACATAAAATTGACGGGATAAGTTCGCATTGAGGTCGATTTCATTACATTCCAGTTCTCACAAATACACATTGGGAATTTTATGAATCTATGTTCTTTTTTGCCCACTGATGGATTAAATATCAGAGCAGAGTGGTCTTTCTAGCATTGGTTGTCATCTAGTTAAGGAAAAGGAAAACCCCATTTTCACAATAGTCTTTGACCTGACCAAGAACAATACAGCCATCCATCGAAAGGATCATTTTTTTTAGAATGTCTCAATGATATCGACTGTTGACGATGAGGTCGATAGAGAGACAGAAAACCTGCATGCTTGCGGGTACCTCACGTTGAAACATCAGTTCCCGTACGATCAAAGAAGTTAAGCAACATCGAGCCTGGACAATATTTAGATGGATGACTGCGTGGGAATGTCAGGTGCTGTAAGTTTGGATGTGCGGATGCTGTAATGTATAATGGCGCAGAGGTTTCAATTCTTGTTGAGTTCGTTATATTCACTTACGCGTAAATGACCTTGGGAAAGGCATGAATCCACCTCTTCCCCAGTTTAAATATTAGGACTGAACCGTTTCAATCGTAAAAACAATTCTTACAATCTAAAAATATTTTCTAGCCTTAAATTACCTGCAATGAGTCGATAAGCCGTCAAAAACGGATCCATTAATAAAAGACCAGCATGGAAAGATTACCCATAATTGAGAAACTAGGGCCATTTTTACAACTAAACCTCATATTAAACTTTTTTTTATTCATATATTAGTATAATTCCTGCAAGTTTTTAACTATCATTATGAAGATCGGGGTCAAACTCTAAAGAATTTTGAAAACATTTTTTTAGATATTCATATAATTTGCGTCTGGAATTCGTGAACAAGAAAACATCATAATCACACTGATCTCTTTGGACTAGTGCAGTGGTTCTCAAACGATTTTGGGCTATACCCCACTTTGGTATTTCTAAAAGTGCTCCCAGCCCTGTAATATTTAATTCATATATATTTAAGTTTTTAATGCAATTCACGTGAAGGAAGCTTAAAAAGCCATTAACTTGGTCTCTAAACAAGCCTCCAAAGATAACGGCGTCCATGAAAGAGAAAAATTAAAAAAAACAACAACAAAAGAAAGTTAAATATATATAGTTTCAAAATGAATATTAAAGAACTCAAAGGCAGACACATTTGAATGAAAGCTTATTCTGTAATCTACTTTGATCATTTTAATCATGAAATAATAATGCGAAATGAAATTTGAGCTCATCACAAAATGTCTGTTAGTGAGATCCTTGTTCATTATGCCTGCCACAGATAGATATTTGGCACCAATTTAGTCAGTTTAAGTCTCGAGTCTCTTCATTTAGTGATATTCAGTTGATTGCTTGTTATCAATAACAAATCACTTACAGCACTAAAGCCAGATTCAGCTGAATATGAAGATCGAAATGGTAACAATAAATTTCTTGCAACAGTGGTTCAATGTATTCATGCGGTGGTTTTATGTATGCATACTGTATATTCATTGTATGCATTAACACGCATTAACATTAACACTCTTACTCATTCTCACTAAAAAAAACAATTCACTGTTAATAACTCATTCTCGAATTTCCCCCTTATTCTGTTGGTATAGTAAGCCTAAGGGTGTACATCCTACGCAAGACCCACCAAAATATTACCATGCCCCACTGGTGAGGCCTGCACCATACTTTGGGAATCATTGGACTTTTGTCTTCTGAATGACATGAGAATAATTGTTAATTGATAATCTTCGGGTGCCTGTATTACTCAGTAACAATATACTCTGTGCATTAAATAAAGAGCAAAATTGTTGGAATACAACAAACCACGCAAGCAAACAGGGGGATGTGACATAAGAAATTTTTTATTTTTTTTATTTAAGAGAACACAACGGTCGAAAGTTTACCTAATTATGACCCCAGGCTACAATGGTCGAAAAAGTGTCCGTAAGTGAGTGAATACGACAGCTGAAAATTTTTCCTGGCGTGGAACAGAGAAGACAACTGTCAAAAAGTCGCCTGAAGGTACCAGGAGAATACAACGGCCGAAATGTTACCTGAAGTGCATCGGGGGATATAATCTCGCCCGAAGGAGACAGGAAAATAAGCCAACTGAAACGTCTCCTGTAATAGCCCGGATGATAAAAATGAAATGTTTTGATTACTGAGAGCAAGGAGAGAATAGTTTGCCATTTTTTTTCTTCTTTACGTGTCGCGTCCCTTCAGGACGTAGGCGATTATGGCCCTCCATATCTTCCTGTCTATTGTAGCTCTTAATAAATTTTGTCTTTTTGTTATTTCTCCCAAACCATGTTCTGCGATCCATTTACTCAAGCTCATCAAGTATGTGCTACTTTCCTCTGTCCAACTTTCCCTCAATCTGTCCCGTGATTGCCAAGCTCTCCTTCTTCATTACGTACCGCAGATACCTAAACTGCCTCTTCCTGATGTTAAATATAAGTTTCTTTTTTGTTTCCATTCTCTCCTAAACGTCGTTGTTGCTCACATGTTCGGCCTAAAGTATACTTAGCATCTTTCTGTAGAACCACGTGTCAGTCGTTTCAAGTCTCGTTTTCATCTTTGAGGAGATTGTCCATCCGTCGCTATCATACAGGAAGGTAGATTTCACATAACAGTTCAGTACTGTTTTCTTTGATACTAACGAACATTTTCTGTCTCTTAATACTCTGCTTAGCTTTAGAGATGCATATTTGAACATCCCAATATATCTTTGGATCTTAGTATCGCACTTTCCGTCCTCTGTTAGAACAATTTCCAGATATTTAAATTTTTGTACTTGTTTGATTTTATTAGGTTGGTGCAAAAATAATGACGTAATAATGTCGTTTTTGAGGTTAAAAAATACGTCACAAAACGACATTATTACGTCATTATTTTTGCACCAACCTAATAGTATCACTGATTTGTCATTTTGCATTTTGGACTTATCTGTTAACCATGCATTCTGTCTTTTTGTAAAATATTCTTGGTCCTTTCTTTTCCCTTTGATTCGCTACCTTCTCTAGGCCCTTTTGTAGTTTCCTTTCCGTGTCTGCTATCAGCATTGTATCACCTGTATATCTCATATTAAAATTATGGCTACCAATAATGAATCCTGGTAGAATTGCATCGTTGTATAGGTTGAATAAACTCTGCGAGAAGAAACGTCTTTGTCTTAAACCCGTTTCTATTTTAGCTGATAATTATACTTTTATTGAACGTTGTCTCTCATACCACTATTAAAAAAAATACTTAAAACTGCATACACACACTCTCTCTATATATAACATTGAATGGACAAGTAGTAAATAATACAGAGACCGAAGTCTAGAATTCAATCAGAATATGATTAATATATTGTCTCCCCTTTTATATATAACTTATGTACCTTACACTTCCCTTTGTATATACTACGCATTATGAACAATTGCTCCTTAAGAAATTAATTGTCTGTCGAGTAAATGATTGGTTTATTCTTATCCAATCAGCAACGCTTCCGGAGAGAAATTGTCGACTCGATGAAATTATTACTCATAATGTCAATAGCAACACGCAATCTTTCAAAAGAATTCGTGTATCTAAAATTATAAAGATTTCTATTCCGAACTTTATCGTACACATTCTTTTTTTTTTTATTTGCCATTTAGGCGGCCAATGCCCTCTACAACTTCCTATATTTTCTAACTTCTATAAATTTTATTTTACCTCTCAAGTTGCCTGTTTTGCTACTATTCTCCTACTTTCTGTTCTCACATTCATTTACACAATCTTGTTAAGTAGGCTACACACTTTTTCGAGTTGTCTTCCTTGACTTCTATCTGCCATCCTAGTGTCAAAATCTCAAAACCCTCTGTCCCAGAAACTTCAACTAACTCTTATTTATTCTCCATATAAGCGCAGCTTTTGTTCCTATATTACTTAATACTTCCTCTTTGCGCAATGTTACGTCCATGATATTTTCAGTAGTCTTTTGTATAAACACGTTTTCTATTGCCTCATGACTCCTCTATATCTGTTATAGAAATTGTCCAGCATTCACTGGGTCTCTATAAGATCCACAGTGTTCATTGGATCCAATTCATTTTTAATCATTGGTTTTAGCAAAATCTTTTTTCACTTGACCGTTTAGACATTTCTGAACGGGTTCGTTATCATGCATGACATCCATATGAAAGTCTTGATCTGACGAGACTATTTAAGAACATGATTCAAGCTCATGATTTCGTTTTGAAGCAACTTGTGCTTTGGTGCGAAACTTAAATATAGTGCAGCCTATTCTATGGCCAATTTTCCTATCTTCTATAGTAAAGTTGTTATAACTAACAACTGACAAGAAACGGTGAGAAATGATATCACTACAGAATTTTAAGTTTCAATAATTATCTATTGGCAAATATATGTGACTCTCGGTTGTTAGACAATTCGTTATGGTTCGTTTTATAGGGTATCGACATTTTTTATTCCAGTTATTCTTTTCTTTTGAGGCAAGACACATTGAAAACAATTACATATGACTCCTTTACGAGACACTACTGCGACTTCTGTCTGAAGTTGTGCGAGGAGTAATTATGCATATTTACAATCTCTACAAACGTACTATTGTCATCATCTCTCTTTTGGTACATGTGTGGGTCGCCGATATGATTTTTCCACGGTTTGGTAGGCATCGGACGATCCCTTTCTTCATGCAATATCTTAGGATGGTGGGAATTAATGGTAAGATATAAACCGATGAAGGGTGGCTTATGGTCGCTTTCTCTTTTTGAGTTATTAGTACATCCAGTATTTCTCTCTTCTATTAAGAACGGAAACGAAGGTCTTATTAAGTTCACATAGTCCAGAAGTATTTGTAAAGATTCCTAGTGAGGTCAGAGCATAATGGTGGCATCTACGTGTCTCAGCTATACTGTTGGCTTTAGTGGTGATGTTCAAAAATCCATTTCCTCGAAATATTCCATGTATTTATCTGCCATAGAATCTACAAATAATACAGAAAGAGACAGGTGATATTTATGGGGTGCATGATGAGGAAGAACAAAGGTCAAATTACATACTGATCATTGGAGAAGCAGTGGGAAGCAGCGGGTAACCTACTTAATAAATGTGTGAGAATTGATGCCAGATAGATACAAGAAGATAAAAAACGAAAATAAAATGGCAAATAAAAATAAGAAGAATGCATCATGAAGTTCTGAATCTTTGTAATTCTAGATCCACGAATTATTTTGGAAGAGCAGCAAAATGTATTTGTAGAAGGTTATATGTTCCTATGAAACAAGGCACAAAAAAGAAGATCGTTTCATAGTCATTCGGTCCACTATATTACAAGAGGGTGTTGTAGTGTTTACTTATCTTCATTTATCGTATCACCTGTCCTATTGTTTTCTCTGTAATTGTCCAATTCATTTTCCGA